ACCTGCGCCGGGCGCCAGAGAGCCGCGGTCTTCCGGCGGGCCGGGACGCAGCAGCATGAAGTGCGTGCGGGTGCTGGTGGCCGCCTGCCTGCTGCTGTGCGCGCTGGGGCGGCCCGGCCCCACGCGCGCCCGCGGGGAAGCGCAGACCGAGGACCCGCGCCTGGACGAGGACGGGATCAGCCCCAACGCCACCGCCGGCAACGAGACCATCCACCCGGAGAAGACGCCGCTTTTCCCGCCCGACCTCTTCACCCTGGAACAGCGCCGCCGGGGCGCCGTCGTTTTCCACATCTTAGGCGTGGTGTACATGTTCGTGGCGCTGGCCATCGTGTGCGACGAGTTCTTTGTGCCCTCGCTCGACGTCATCATCGAAAAGTTGGACATCGCGGACGACGTGGCGGGTGCCACCTTCATGGCGGCGGGCGGCAGCGCGCCCGAGCTGTTCACCAGCGTCATCGGCGTGTTCGTGTCGTTCGACGACGTGGGGATCGGCACCATCGTGGGCTCGGCGGTGTTCAACATCCTGTTTGTGATCGGCATGTGCGCCATTTTCAGCCGGACTGTGCTGACATTGACTTGGTGGCCCCTTTTCCGCGACTGCACCTTCTACTCCGCGTCGCTCATTACGCTCATCGTGTTCTTCCGCGATAACCACATCTACTGGTACGAAGCCCTCATCCTCTTCTGCTTCTACTTGGCCTACGTGTCGTTCATGAAGTGGAACCAACCCGTCGAGCGCTTCGTAAAGAAGCACCTGTACAAGAACAAGGTGACGCGGGTTCGAAGCACAGACCAGCTGATGCCTTCCGTAAGTGTCCGGGTCAGCAGCGCCCGCCGCCGCCCTGAGCCCCCCCCCCCCGGAAACACCCGGAATAAACAAAAGCCGCCGGCCAGCGCGAGTGGCTCGCGAAGCGTAGTCTCAAGCTGCCGCGGCCGCTGCGGCGCTGGGCGGAGCGCGTGGGCGGGCGTGGGCCGCGGCACGGGTCGTTGGCGAAGGCGAGCGCCCGAGCGCGGCGATCAAGAAACGCTCATCCCCGCCCCGACCCCGCCCCACCCCCCGCCCCGCGCCGCCCCGGCCAAATGAGCCCAAGTGCTTGGGCGCGAACGCGTGTGCTTAAAAAGTCGGCAATCACCGCCTCTTGGCGATTCAATTATCTCCCCTCCTTCTGTCTCTCTCTGTCTCTGCCTCTCTGCCTCTCTCTCTCCTCTCTGCCTCTTTCTCTCTGCCTTCTCAATGTCTCTCTCTCTGTTCTCTCTCTGTCTCTCTCTCTGGTCTCTCTCTCTGTTCCTCTCTCTCCTGGTCTCTTCTCTGTCTCTCTCTCTGTCTCTCTCTCTGGTCTCTCTCTCTGTCTCTCTCTCTGTCTCTCCTCTCTGTCTCTCTCTCTTCTCTCTCTGTCTCTCTCTGTCCTGGTCCTCCTCTGTCCTGTCTCTCTCTGTCTGTCTCTCTCTGTCTGTCCCTCTCTCTGTCTGTCTCTCTTGTCTGTCTCTCTCTGTCCTGTCCTCTCTCTGTTCTGTCTCTTCTGTTCTGTCTCTCTCTGTCTGTCCTGTCCTCTCTCTGTCTGTCTGTCTCTCTCTCTCTCTGTCTGTCTCGTCTGTCTGTCTTCTGTCCCTGTCTGTCTCTCTGTTCCTGTCTCTGTCCTGTCTGTCTCTGGTCTTCTGTTCTCTGTCTGTCTGTCTCTGGTCTGTCCTGTCTTCTGTCTGTCTGTCTCTGTCTGTTCTGTCTCTGTCTGTACTGTTCTCTGTCTGTCTGACTCTGTCTGTCTGTCTCTGGTCTGTCTGTCTTGGTCTGTCTGTCTCTGTTCCTTCTGGTCTCTGTCTGTCTGTCTCTGTCTGTCCTGTCTATGTCTGTTCTGTCTTCTGTCCTGTCTGTCTCTGTCTGTCTGGTCTCTGTCCTGTCTGTCTCTGGTCTGTCTGTTCTCTGGGTCTGTCTGTCCTCTGTCTGTCTGTCTCTCTGTCTCTCTGTCTCTCTGTCTCTCTGTCTGTCCTGTCCTCTCTGTCTGTCTGTCTCTCTGTCTGTCTGGTCTCTCTGTCTGTCCTGTCTCTGTCCTGTCTGTCTTGTCTCTGTCTGTCTGTCTTCCTTCTGTTCCTGCTGTCTGTCTCTGTCTGTCCTGTCTGTAAATCTGTCCTGTCCTGTCTCTCTCTGTCCTGTCTGTTCTCTCTCTTCTGTCTGTCTCTTCGTCTCTTGTCTGGTCTCTCTCTCTCATGTCTGGTCCTCTGTCTGTTCCTGTCTCTCTGTCTGCTCTAGTGATTACTTAGTATGGATCTCTGTGCTGGTTGGTGTAATGGCTTCGGTGTGCTCAAAAAATCGCTGTCTGTACCTCCTCGTTTCGTAGTTACTGTCCTTCTTATGGTTCTGACTCGCTTGTTCTGTCTCTGTCTGTCTGTCTGCTAGTGTTCGCAGATCTCGTCTCGCTCGGCTAGTATAATTCACGGTAGGCTTATATCTTAGTCTCCTGTCTGTGCTCGATTCATTCAGTCTGTCGATCCACATGAGAGTCATACAGTTTCCTGTCTTATGTCTTGTCTGTCTAAGCGTCAACGTAAGTGATACTACGCTCCACTAGACTCTTGATGGGTATAACTGCTGTCTCAATATTTGCTTAGTGCCAGATGTACAATAACTTATTCTCAGTCTGTCCGTATCTCCTCGCCATACATTGACTCCATCGGTTCTATCCGCATGTCTCTCATAGTCAACGTGAGGTTCATATGTCCTGTCTGTGTATCTGGTCTGTCTTTCGTTCTGACGCGGTGTTATGCTAACAGTTTTGGACGGCTCCCCTCTGTGTCTGGTCAGCTCTCTCGGACTCCTCCGCTCGTTCGCTGCATCCTCTTTCTTTCCATCGCGTCGCTCGCTTCCTCTTTTCATCTGTGTGAATTCGAGTGAAGTTTCTCCGTACTGGTGTCCCATCAGCGCAATCACAGAGCTCTATTGCTCCGGTCGGTTGCAGTGGTGATCATGCTTTTCACTAAGCCGGTGCGATTCTCTCGCGACCTGTTCTCTTGATGCCGCTGGTTCTCGTTTTGCTGGCATGCGTCCACGTAGCGCATGGGTGTTGGATTCGCTACTTCTTCTTCTGTGTTCCACACTGGAACTCACTATGATCGATGTCTCTACATCTAATGTAACCTTCGTTTGTTGTGGGTTCTTAAGCACACATACTCACCACTTAGTAGTGTCTCTGCGGCATGTGGGCATCACATATTTCTTGGTGTTCAGCAGATTTGCTTTCTCGCACAACTGCGCTTGTGCTCTTATCCTTTCTCTTTCACCTATGAATTCAATCTCTCTGAAAGTTTAGTGTGCTTTCAAGCCTCTTGCCGTTAGGTGGTCTCTACTCACCTTATACCTCTGTGTCCTCGGGGCTCCAATAAAAAGTGCGCGTATCTCTCTTTCTAATATCATGTGAGTTCTTCTAAGAACAGTACAACGGCACTTGTACTTCTACGGCACATGGATACCACTCTCTCTGTAACTTTGCTTCGCACTTCTCTCTGTCTCACGGTTCATCGTATCTCTAGATACCGTCTTGCCATCTCTCGAGGTATATCTGTGATGAATTCCATGCGAATACAATCAGGTGACATCACCTATCGTACTTCTATCTGTCTCTAACCGTTTTACACGCTTTTACTCTGTACGCTCTCTTCTCTCCCTGAATTTGTTTATAACTCTATCTTTCTATGACCGACAGGAAACTTACTTTTAGGAATGCGTCTCTCTCTGAAACAATTCCCGCACACCTGTTGACCTCTCCACTATCCCTACATCTCTGTCTTCACCTCTTCTCCATCGTCCTCTGTTCCATTTCAACCTCTCCTTGATAATACCAGCATGCGAAAGAAGCCCTCTCCAACTAGAAATACTAAACATGGCAATACTCCTCATGCGCTTGGGACTTTCTATAGGAATCTCCCTTCCTTCTTCCTTGTACCGCCCCTATCACTTGTGATGTCCTAGTTCTCCTCTCTCTTCATTTAACTGTCGGGACCCATATTCTCTCCTAATTTTTAATACTTCTCTGTCTTCCAGATACTGTGCAATTTTTCTTCACTGATCATTATTTTTCGGCATCTATCACACTTCTCACTCTCTTTCAATTCAATTAACCTATATTTACTTTAAACTTACTCTCCTATCTTTGTAACTGTGGTCTGTAAATACATCCGCTCGAGACTTCTTACTACTCACATACCTGACAACATTCAATCACTCGTACATGTCCAGTCTATCAAATAACTTCCAGATTCTCCCGGTATTTGTCACACTCAAGAGTCGTCTGCTAGAGAGCTTGATTATCTCTGCTCTGGGCATAACTCGCTCACTACATTCAAATCATGTGCATATACATGTACTGTCCATGAGATCTTTGTCTTCCTGATACCTGTTAGCTTTGTCTATGTTTCACATTAGAGGCACATTCTATAGTCACTTAGTTAGCTAACAGCAGAGAATCTTGATTCTACTCTCTACTTGTCTCCTGCGTATACTTAGAGAGAGCTTGTCTCTTCTTCTTGTTGTCTGTCTTGTTCTTCGATCGCTTTAGCTTATTGTACTGTCTAGAGAGTTCCTCTTTTCGTATTTAGTTCGCTCTATTGTGATCGCTCTCTACCCTGTCGGTCTTGATCTGTCTGTCTCGCATCGCACACATTGTAACTGTGTTCTTAAATACAGATGATTATCTCTCTCTGTCTGGTCACTATACACTCATACTACATTTGATATCTACAAGTCATAGCTAGCTAGTAGACACTAAGGTTTACTGTGTGGTACATTGCTCATCATGAGGAATTCTATCTAAAATATGGTACGTGTCTCCTGTCACTGTTCGATTAGTTCATAACAGTCTGTCTCTCTCTGTCTCAGCATATCACTATGCTCTATGAGAGTCTCTAATCTCGAGTCTCTTATCAACATTGATCTCGGTATACGCAGATTATCGCTGTCTCGTAGCTTCTGGAAACATTCGCGTCTACACGGGTATTCACTTCTGGATATATCACTGTTACTAAGAACATTAGTCTCTCCGTATTACTGCTATTCTCCTCTCATGTAAATCACTCTTTCTCTCTGACATTCTCACCTTTTCTTGGGGCATAGTAGCTCTGTGGTAGTGAGAGTAAATTGTCAACTCGTCTCAACATATCTGCTAATTACTCTATGTATGACATTCTATGTATAATTGCAATATACCAACAAAACAATAGATCTGAACTCAATAGCTCATCTTTGCTACAGTGCATTACGGTCGTATGTTCAGTTGCCAGCTGAAGTGCATGCTCTACGTAACTAAAGTTAGACTGTATTCTGCTGTATTCTTATTGTTTCTTTTTGTGGCGGGTGCTGTCCTCTCTCTGTCTGGTGTGTGTCTGTCTGTCGTCGGGGAGAGACTGGACGTTTCACATGCTAACATTCCACATGGTAGACTGAGTATATAGAGTCACACGCACACTCGCATCTTCGTCTGGCGTGCACTACTCTCATTCTCCCTCGCTGTATGTATCTGCTCACTCTCTCTGTCTGCTCTGTTTTCTTCTCTGTGTGTTCCCTGTCTCTCTCTGTCTGTCCTCTGTTCCTGTCTAGTCCTCCACTGTGCTCTGCGAAGTCTCGCTCGTTTCATGATAATTGCTCCATGTTTGGCTTGGAGATTACTGTTCATCTCTCACAATACTCCAATTATATAATCCGATGGGTACGTTCTTCGTCCATGTCTGCAAGCTCTTTGGTCTATCTCTACGGTCATGTCCTAGCCTCTCAGTTTTCTTCTTGTGCGCGTTTCTCCGGTCACATTACTTGTCTGTGCCTCGATCTCTCTCTGCTCGCTCGAGGTGATCTATACGCTTAGAGTCTTGATCGCCAGGTCTCCTGTCCTGCTGTCAGCCATGACATCATGAGCGATACTTGTATAGATCCATTGGAATCTCCGGTCCATCCAGTCTGCAGTGATGGTACTCGAGGACATCAGAAGAACCATAGTAATCTAAACAAGCTATACAAGTTCGCATCGCCTCATACTTATAGCCTTCAGACTTCTAGAACATCGGTGACATGTCTGCATCTGAGCTACTAACTGTAACTCCTAA